AGCTGTAGTTGCTCCACATTCTTGACTAATCTTGGCACTATCAGCATGTATTTTAAGCCATTCTAATAGGTGTGTGGTGCCATATTATTGTGGTTGTATTTTGTATTTGTCTAAATAGATCAAATTGCCAACATCCACTGGATCATCAAAAAAGCAAGAGAGTTCCAGAAAAACATCTACTTCTGCTTTATTGACTATGCCAAAGCCTTTGACTGTGTGGATCACAATAGTCTGTGGAAAATTCTGAAAGAGATGGGACTACCGGAACACCTGACCTGCCTCTTGAGAAACCTATATGCAGGTCAGGAAGCAACAGTTAGAACTGGACATGGANGATCCTGATCCTGGAAAAAGATTGAGTGCAGGAGGAGAAGGGTACAACAGAGGATGAGATGGTTGGATGGCATCACCGACTCAATGGACATGAGTTTGGGTAAACTCCGGGAGTTGGTGATGAACAGGGAGGCCTGGCATGTTGCGGTTCATTGGGTAGCAAAGAGTCGAACACAACTGAACTGAATGGATGATGTGTAACATCATTTCATGTGCTTATCTGCCATCTGCTAATCTTTGGTGAAGTGTTTACAAATTTATCGTTCATTTTTGTTTTCTCATTTTTATAGTTCTTTATATATATCCTGGATATTCTTTTGTCAAATATATGCTGCCCAAAGATTTTCCCCAGTGTGCAGCTGCCTCTTCATTCTTCCTGGTGTCTTCTAAATAAGATTTTTATTGGATGACATCTAATTTATCTTCAATGGAGAAAACTTTTGGTGTTGTATACAGGAATTCCTTGTGTAAGTAATGTCACACAGATATTTTTTTCCTGTAACTTTTGGTCTGTATTCCAAATCAATTTTGTGTGAAAGAAAGTCTTTAAAGGTTTTTCTTTTGGGGGGGGGGGGCGGGGATACAGGTGTCCAGTTATTCTAACATCTTACATTTAAATAGCAATCCTCTCTCCACTGAACTGTCTTCTCATTTTTGTCAAAAATTAATCTGCCATACATGTGTGGGTCTACTTGTGGACTTTTCTATTTCAGTGATCTATGCATCTATCCTTTTGCCAAATATTTCCTTGTTATTCTAGCTGTATAATAAACCTTAGAAGTATGTAACTTAAGTCATATAATTGTTGATTTTTTTAAAATTGTGCTGGACATTCTGGTTGCTGTTTTTCCAAAGAGCTCTGAAAGTCAGTTTAGCAGTATCAACAAATTATCCTGCTACAATTTCCAATTTGAAATTAATCTATTTGAGGAGACATCACAACAATCATGACTCTTTCAAGTCATGTATACAGTATAGTTCTCTGTTTACTTAGGCCTTTCTTTTTTATCAAAATTTGGTGGAGGGCCTTTGCCATAAGGGCCTAGTACACATTTTCGTAGATTTATACCTAATTATTTCAATTCTGGTACTACTGCAAATGTTAATTGTAAAAAAAAAAATTTCAAGGTCTAGTAGTTCATTGCTAGCTTATTTACTGACTCCTACACTATTTAATCTTACAATCTTGTTTAACTCAACTGTAGGAACCTTTAAATCTTTGGAATTTTCTACATAAACAATCATATCATCTCTGTATAAGAATAGTTTTATTTCTTAATTTCCAATTTGTATACTCTTCTCTTTCTCATTTTAGGCACTGGCTGTCAGTGAGATGTTGAATAGTAGTCAATGTGGCCTTCCTTGACTTGTCTCCCCTTCCTTTGCGGAAAAACATTTAGCCTTTAGGACTTCCCTGGTGGCTCAGACGGCAAAGCATCTGCCTACAATGAGGGAGACCCAGGTTCGATCCCTGGGCTGGGAAGATCCTCTGGAGGAGGAAATGGCAACCCACTCCAGTACTCTTGTCTGGAAAATCCCGTGGATGGAGGAGCCTGGTAGACTACAGTCCATGGGGTCACAAAGAATCGGACACGACTTGAGGGACTTCACTTCACTTTGAAAGACAACTGGGAGACTTTGCAGACACTTTTCAGCTTAAGGAAGCTCTTTTCCATTCCCAGTTTACTGAGTTTTTACTAAGAATGGATATTTAGCCTTGTCAAATGTTTTTCTTTCATTTATTAAGATAATCATAAGCTTTTTCCTATTTAGTCTGCTGACAGGATGAGTTAACATTTATTGATTTCAAAAGGTTCAACAGACTGCCTTTCCCAATATAAAGTTCTCTTGGTCATGATTTTACGTATTGCTTGATTCAACTTGCTAATATTTTGTTGCAGATTTTTGCATCTATACTTATGAGAAAGAGAAACACACAGTATTCTTTTATGACCAAGGTACTGCAGGCCTCTTAACATGAATTTGGAAGTGTTTTGTTGTACACTGTTGTTGGTTTCTTCATTTAATGCTTGGCAGAATTCACAAGTCAAGCTCTTCAGGCCTCCAAGGAGACTTTTAACTACAAAGTAAATTTATTAGATATAGAGTTATTCAGAATTGAGAAGTAGGTTAACTGCTTCTCAAATAAGTTTACTTAAATATTTTCAGGAAGTTGGCTCATTTCATCAAAGTTGCCATATTTATGGAAATAAATTTACTAAAAATACTCCAGTATCATTTACTTACAACCTGAGAGGGAAGAGGGCTTTTCCCTTGCTGTCAGGCTAGAACTATTTCAATTGATCTTCTCAGGAACTAGTTCTGTTTCCAATATTTTCAACTCTTTTCTGTCTACAAGTTCATTGATTTATAATTATTTTCATTATTTCCTTGTTCTGCATTCTGTTTATTCTTTTTCTAGTTCCTTAGGGTAGAAGGTTAAATTTGTTATCTTTCTTCTTTTCTAATAAAGCCAAATTCTCTTAAAAACCCTCCTTTCAGCTGGAGTTTCCAAATTTTGATGCCGTATTTTCATTTTCATTCAAGTACTTCCTAATTTCTCTTAAAAAGTCTATCTTGATCCATATATATATAACATGGAAATGCATTACTTAATATCTAGAAACTTGAACTTTTTTCAGATATTTCTGTTACCAGTTGAGTTTGCTCAGCTAAGATCAGAGAATTACATGATTTAAGATTCTTAGCTTGCTAATAAGAATAATTAATTATCTTCTAAATTCTACTGCTGGTTAGTTCACTGGGTTGGGCAGGAAGAAAAACCTTACTCTTTTAAAAACATAAGAACAGATACACAGTCCAAAAGAGATATAACATTATACTGTGGTATTAAAATTTCATAAGGATGATTAGAAAAAAAAAAAGTCTAAAAATTCATGGAGGTAGAAGGGCAAAAAATGGCTAAGAAACACTGGATTAGAGGTGTTTCATTATTTTATTTTTCATTTAAGAGGTGATTTATTTGTCATACAGAAAAGTGTGAGAAAGTGTAACAGATTCCATATCCCAAGACCCATATTTAATAATGCTAACATTCAGAAAAATATTCAAATACCTTTTTAAAAGAAAATTGCAATATATGTTTATAGAGAGAGAACCCACTCAAATTTCACTCTTTCCCCTCCATCTTTTTCTTCCACAGAAAGATATTAAATGTTTTCATAAATAATATATAGCATTTTATATGTACCATATTAAGCTCTGAAAAGATTCATGATAAAGAAATTAATCAGCTGTTCATATTTTCTTCTGCAATTCTTAAATTTTCAAAGATTCTGGTATATAAGTACTAGAGAAGTGGTATATTGATGCCATACCATAATGTAATAAAAAAGAAATGTTCTATGTAGTCAAATACCCTTTTACTGATTTCTGATATACATATAAATATACACATATATTTTTAAACATTGTCATCCCTTTAAATCTTTATATATTATATCAAAGATACTTCATTGATCTCTTAGTTTTTCCCCATGGTATTAAAGCTTAAGCTCAGTGGGTACAGAATCTCTTTTTCCTAGTACTTTTTCAGTATTTGGTGAGTCTTGGTTGTTTATTCTAAATTCCCTATACTATCCTATAGTTTGCTTTCAGGAAATTCCAGTGTATAATACATAGTAGCTTAAGTTATGGGGGTGGGAATTCTATATCTATTTCTGAGAATCATCAGTTCTGTCTCTTACATGCCTAACACATGTAGTTCAGCTGTCATCTCTACTGAACAATCCTCCTGAAATCACTATCTTTTGCTTTACATGCATTAGTAAAAACAATTAAATGTAATAAAGTATCTTATTAACTTAAGAGTTGAAGTTTATCAAAAAACTTCATGACTCACAAAGGGAAGTGTTCTCTTCTTATAGGGTGTTAGAAGATCAAATTACCATACATAAACAGAGAGTCCCATGGACTGCAAGGAGATCCAACCAGTCCATCCTACAGGAAATCAGTCCTGGGTGTTCATCAGAAGGACTGATGTTGAAGCTGAAACTCCAACACTTTGGCCACCTGATGTGAAGAGCTGACTCATTTGAAAAGACTCTGATGCTGGGAAAGATTGAGGGTAGGAGGAGAAGGGGACAATGGATGATGAGATGGATGGATGGCATCACCGACTCAATGGACATGAGTTTGGGTAAACTCTGGGAGTTGGTGATGGACAGGGAGGCCTGGCGTGCTGTGGTTCATGGAGTCACAAACAGTCAGACACGACTGAGCGACTGAACTGATCTGAAACACTCAGTACAATGTCTTTAAAATTTTAGGTGCTTAATACATATTGATTCCTTTCCCTTACTTCCTTTCAAATTTCAAAGACTTAATCTCTCAAGACATTGGTTTTTGAAGGAGTTTCACTTGCACAGCAAATACTTTCCAAATCATCTAAACCAGCAACTTGTATGCTTTGCTGTTGTCTAGTTGCTAAGTCATGTCCAACTCTTTTGCAACCCCTTGGACAATGGCCCACCAGGCTCCTCAGTCCATTAGATTTCCCAGGCAAGAATACTGGAGTGGGTTGCTGTTTCCTTCTCCAGGGGATATTTCTGACCCAGGGATCAAACCCACGTCTCCTGTATTGGCAGGCAAATTCTTTACCACTGAACCACCAGGGAAGCCCAACTTGCATGCTATCATTTTTTTTCTTTAATTTGTTGATTTACATAATCAGGATTATGCTCATTCTGTTAATGACTAGGGTAAGGTGAAGAGCACTTGAATTACTTGAAACTATATGCCTCCTTAAATTTTACACCCTAGGAACCTCCTTTGCTTTACACTATCCCAGGCCCTTGTAAAAGGCATAAATGGAAAACAACCACATGGCAAAAAGAGTTTTTATAGACTTCATATTGTAGCAAAACATTTGTTTTTGGCTGCCTAATATCTAAGTTTCTTTTTTTATTTTACAATGCTATGCTTTTCCTTGAGAGAACAAGTCTATTCCCAACTTTCAAGTCACATGTTTTATATGAAACTTCACTTCTTGCCTCAGAGGTGAAATGTCTGACCTACACTTGGCCAGTGTGCCAAATCTCTCTGGCAAAAGGAAAAAGTTACTATTGTTTAAAATAACTGAAAATCCATGACAGACTAGCTATTTGGGCTCTTGCTATGTAAGCACTTCTCCATCTCCATAATTTCTAGACACCAAAGATCCTAAACTTTTCAAATAGTTTCCTGCTCCCTAGGTGTGGCAAGGAAGAATCTGGGCATCTCAGTGATAACTGAGGTGGAAAGATGACTGAATTTTTACTGAAAGTCTCAGAATTTTTATATCACCTTCAGTATCAGGGTGAGTTGAGAACCATCACAACCACCACTACGAGAGCTAATATTTATTGAAAATGTGACACACTCTCTCTCTCTCTATATATATATATATACATACACATACACAACACCAGACTTAAGTATTTTATATCCATCTAATCATCTTTATAATAGTCTCAAGGTAGCCATTTTTATTATTCCCATGGAAAATGGGGAAAAAATGTCTTAAAGCAACTAAGGCATGGACACAAGATTTGAATTTAGAACCTATACCTGTAAAACCACTTTAAAAACACTATTTTTCAGTGAACTATTAAGGCTGAAATTCTCAACACTACAACAGGATAGGGACTCCAGGGTTTTATTTAGGTTGATTTTAAAAAATATTCTTTTTTGGTGTGTTTGTGTTAGTCACTCAGTTGTGTCCAACTCTTTGCGACCCCATGGACTGTAGCCCACCAGGCTCCTCTGTCCATGGGATTCTCCAGGCAAGAATACTGGAGTGGACTGTCATAAACCTGACAAATTTACACATTCCAAGGAATAATTTAGCTTTTGGCTCACTATTCCTATAATAATTAATGATCATTTCAAAAAATGCATATGATCCTTTCAATATCCAAGTTTCTTAATTTCTTGAATTCATATCTTTATATAACCTCACTTTCACTCAACTACCATACTCCATTCTAGAAGTTACTAATTATGGTACTCTAATATTTTCAATCTCAGTCCGTTACTCTATTTCAACCTCCCAAATTTCCTACCTCTAGGAAATAACAACACATCTTCAACCACACTGCAATCTCAGTGGATCATACCATTTCTCCATTGTGCCTGAAACTCAATTTTCTCAATTTGCTCATTACCAGATTACTTTCCATGTCCCTCCTTCATAATCATTCTTTTGATTATGTCAACACCTTTCCCCTCTCACTTTTTGTTATATTCATGTGAAGAAATTCCAACTTTAAAAATCTGACTGTCCACTCAATAGCAGTACAAAGGCTAAACTGGGAAAAACACAAAACCACACTGACTGATCTCAATTAAATTAACAACCATGGACTTCAAGTAGGCACTTTTTAAGTAATATCCAGCAATCCTTCTAAGCGTCTTTTTCTCACTTCCCTAAATATCTATATTACATCTTTCCTCAATCCATTTTTCCCCAACACTTCATCCCTCTACTTCATGACCTTGCTTCCTATTAACTGAGAAAATATAACAAAAATTTTATATGCTCCCATTAGATATACCAAACTGCAAATATCTAGATCTTTATAATCTGCCCTTCCTTCCACTGCTATTAATGAGCTGTTTACACACCCATCTTTAAAACTAACCCTTCTATTTATACATCATATCTATGGCTCCAGTGACATTTCTCTCACTCCTGCATCATGTCTTTATTTTTTCTCTACTACATTAGGCCATACAAATCTGCTATATTTTCGATCTTTATCAAATAAAAACAAAACCTTCTTGATACTATATCTCCTTGTATTAACAACCCATTTCACCATTCCCTCAGAGAGCAAGACTCCTTAACAGTTGTCTTCGGAACTCATCTTTCTTACATCATCAACAGACCTAACATATTTAATCACTCCTTCCTAGTTGAGCTTCTTTATTCATTTGGGATTACCTACTCTTAGTCAAGTTTTCTTACCACTTGACATCTAAATATTAGCATGTGCCAGGGTTCAAATCTCCATTCTTCTATTTCCTACCTTTAAATTTTTCACTTACCTTATTTCACAAAGCTATGAGTAAAAGGGAGGAAGCTGTAATATACAACATCATTCCAACAAAGATCTAAGTGACTCTAAGGTAAAACTGTTACTACATACTCACAGAAGAGTATCAACCAGAACAAATTCAATAAAACATATCAATGTTTCCTACTTAACATACAGCTGAAGTTAATTTTACTAAGGGAACAGAATAATATAGGAAACATTTATACCACTGCATGACATTCTGATACACTGGCAGACACAACAATGAAAAACTGTTAGGGCAAGTATACAAATTCCCTAACCTGTGAAAAATCCCCCACCACTTAAGAGAAAAAACAAAATCAAAACAACAACATCAAAATCATCAAAACTCAGCCAAGCAAAACTACTCTGAGAATAATTACAAAAAATAAGATTACTATTAAAAAAAGTGTTAAGTGCATCAGTATACAAGTGAGAATGAAAAAGGGCAATATTTGTAACCATAAAAGAAAATTTCTATTTAGTATTATAAAATTATGATAAAAAAATTTATGTAATTATCAAATTACACTTTCCTCAACATATAGATAACAAAGAAAAATTAAGATCATTATTTTAATTGGAAAGAAAATAATTTATTATATGAGGAAGATGATTAAAATACATGTGACAGATCTCTAATAAACTGATTTAAATGCATATAGATTTAATTTTTAAATACACTTTAAAAGCTATTACGCACAGTTCCATAGTCCAGGTGGTCAATTTCATCTCCACAAAGGTGGAAAGCACTTGAGAGATAAAAGGTACCTAAAACACCATAAAAATTCATTAAAAATAATGATTACTGAACAGTTCACTAGTTCTAAAATAACTAAAAGCTAGAACATTTATATTTAGAAAATTAGTGAATCATGTCAGTGCAACAAAATTTTAATGATCTAACAGCATATAAACTGACTTATAACATTAAAAAATAAAAATTTTAACTGTGCCAATAGAAAAAAGCAACAGCAATTTCAATATTTCCTGCTTTTGGTACTCTTTGAATGATAATGATTAACAACAGAATTTTGCATTGTTTTCATAGTACTATTAGTAGGATTTGCAAGAAAAGGGATGCAAAGCCTCCAATGTTGTATTTTCCTACTAATAAAAGTTTAGGTGGCTAGGGTGATGTCTTGGATCCACGTAATCAGTTTAATCTACCAAAGCAGTACTCAAATTGGTCAGTCCTTAGAACCACTAAGGGAAAATTAGATTCTTGGTCCTGATTCCAGAGATTCTCATCTATCAGTTCTATGATAGAATCCAGGAATCTTAACATATAAAAATCCCTCCTCAGTGGTTCTCAACCTTGGTTGTACATTAGAACCAATGCTCTGTGAGGTTAGAAAATACTGATATCTACGCAGAAATACAGACCAATTAAAACAAAACTCTAGGAAGAAATCCAAGCAAAATACTTTTTACTTAAACCACTGCTCTTACATACCTACCAGAACTGTTTCTTTCCACTTACTGTGCTACCCTGAGTCAACTTTATCTTTTTCCCTCTCTGCTACTCTTTTCTGACTCCTTTTATTTTGTTTAGAAAAAAAAAGGGAAAAAAGATACTTCTACTTGCTATCTCAAAGGAGATTTCCATAATAAAACCTCAGATGTTTGCTACTTTTATCTGGAATTCACACTGAAATTCAGTTATTTAAATTTTCAACACATGTATTTTTTATAGGGGGAAAAAAACCCTTTCCCCAGTCAAATTTTATAACAGGTTATAGAGAACACCTAAACCAGATACACCATGAAAGAGAAAGCATTTATGTTACTCAATTAGACTTAGAAAATATATAAATAGAAGAAGAATAAAATCTGTGTTAAAGTGAATGCATCCATTCTCCAAGTAAATAAGTCGACCTGATTCACTAACTTTCTCTGGAAAAACGACATAACCTAAAGGACAGCACAGAAAATTCAGCAACAAATCTAAAAACCACATAAAAGATTTGTTCAATCAACACAGATAATTTTAGAAATACTTAATTTCAATACATTGTAAAAAAAAAAAATATTGCTTAAGCTGGATCAGTGGGTTGGGGAGAAACAAAACACTTCTAGGAAAATAAAAAAAACACTGCCCCAAAAGGATACGACAAGAAAGGATACACTTTGTATGACAGTATTACAGCAGTATTTACGCAGGGATGCTTCTAAAGAGGAACAGCAGAATGCAGTTTAATTTTTCTCTCATATTTCATGTTAGATTTACAAATAAATGTTTACTTTAAACACACAGAAAATGGTTTATTTTCATCTGTTCTTCTAAGGTATTTGTAAGACATCTGACTATACCAGTATAGATACTTTACTACAAAATTCAAATATTCAAGGTGCCTCCCAAAGGGAATAAACATTAGCAAAACTTTATATAATTTTTTCAGCTTAACCATGAGTAATTTTGGCCCATTTATTCATGTTCTTCCATTATTCTAAAGCAGAAAGATTTAAAACAAAATGAATATATTTCCACTCATCTTTCTTAAATCAACATTGACATAAAATGCTTCATTTTATCATTTTTAATTATTAAATTACTTAATTATGAATTAAAATTACTTAAAGATGAAATACTTCATTCCAAAAAATATGGATATATTTCTGTGAGGAGGACAATTAGAAATGAGCAATGCAAATTCTCATGTCTCACCAAGCGTAACCAACATGTCCTAACTTGGCAGACACTTTCCCAATGTTAGCAGTAAAAAGTCCAGTATCCTAGAAAACCTTATTCACAGGAAAACTAGGAAAACTGATTAGCCAAGGCCAAACACCCTTGCAGAACTACTGAATCAGAAATTCTGTATGGGGGTTAGAGGAAACCCAGTAATCTGTGTTTTATCAGGCTCTCTAGGTGATTACAATACATGTTAAAATTTAAGAAGTACTGATTTATTCTAAGAAAAGAAAGTAAATTAAGAATATTAAAGATACATTGCCCTTATAAAATTCATTCTCTCCAAATTTAATTTTTTACATACAAATGAGCTTTATTCCAGAATTGTGAAGTTTAATGAATATTAACAGCATAGTAAGACGGTCAGAGTGATGGGTTCTTTAAAAACATTACTCAGGCTATCATCCTTTCTTAATTTTCTCTCAAAAAAGTCATCCTTTTAGTATGTTATCTCCACACTTACCTTTACTAATTTTTAACACTTTCTTTTTCCTTCTTTAGAATCTTGTTTTGGTCTAGCAGATCGAGCAAATTGCTAATATTTAAAAATTAAGGTTTCCTTCAAAAATATGAAAGGAATCTTTTCTAAAGAATTATCAAGAACATCCTAATGTAGGGTAGCAGCAGAGCTTTTAATTTCTCTATTTGTCTTCCTACTCAGTCATTCGTCAGTATTTCTTGAATGCCTCCTAGCTGTTTATGATGTGGGGGAGGAGCAAAAAATTTTCCCTTCTGTTTAGTCATTTTTTACACCTAGACCTCTGCTCCTTCATTTATCCCACTGATTTCTAGTTTGAAATTGCATTAACTGCGGAAAATACGATGGCTAATCAATGATATATTGTTATTAAAATTCTTAAACATAAATATGAATTACAATAAAATATAAAACTAACTACAATGAATCATATCTTCCTTTTAAGGATTCTAATGTACTTCTGGATACTGTACTATCTTTGGTTTAGCATGAGTATATATATTTTAAGTATTAAATAAAATGTTAAGACTTGGCTGGATTTTAATAGCCTCATTATGCTTATTTTCCTATAAAAATCTAAATAACATTGTCATCTGACTCAAATGTTTATATTATAAATATTTATAACTGAATATTCTCAAGCTGGAATGCAAGCTGCTGAGATTTCCAAAGCATAATATAAAAATTAGTTTCAACTATACCCTTACTGCTATAAACTCAATCTGGAACCAACTAACTTGAAGGATACAACCACCATAGGTTTTCCAAAAAGAACATATCCATTAGCTTCCTTTAACGCTTTTGCTGCTGCTTTTTCATTTGGAAGTCCAATGAAAGCTTGTCCTTTCATGCGACCTTCTTTCATCAAACGTATATCAAACCTAGAAGTCAAAGAAGAAAGAATGTTTTGACTCAAAAAATGTAAAAGAATTCTGATTGTGAATGGGAATGTGTTAAAATTCTGCTATTTCAGAATAAAAATGACTATACTATCTGATTCACACATTACTTAGGCTTTCTAAAATTATATTTTATATTGTACTTTAAAATTGTTTTCATAAGTAGGTGATGTAAGTTGATGATGTTCTTATCATTTTTTAACTATCATAAAAGCATATATGATTTAAAAAATCATATTACTTGCAACTATAAAAGTAAACAAGTTTTTCTTTCATCTCTCTTTTTTAAAAGTTCTATGCAGCCAATATAATACTGTTTACTCAAGTGACAAAAACAACTATACGATGAGGAATAAAAGGGTTGACAGAAACTATAGAAAAGTAACATGGAATTTCAGAGGAGAAAGGGAACTTATTGATCACCTAGTCAAAAATCACCATTTTACAGACGATGTGTACAGAAATTGAGTGAATTCTTCAGTGTTACACTGAGAGCTAAAGTTAGGGCCAAAAACACAAACCAGATTTTGTATTCCAAGTTAGTCGTTATTCCCTAGTGTATAGCTGTCAACATTTTGGGGAAGGAAACTATAAACTACTTAAAAAACAGACTATAATTTAAAACTAAAGTACTGCCTAGCAATTAGTCTATGAGACTAGCAAAAGCATATAAAGAATTTTTAAGAATCAAAATGTGCAGTCAAATTTTTTTCTAAAAAATTCACAAGACTAGTCCCACAGGAAACAATTATTAATTTATCATTTTGATGTGTACAGCTTCTCAATACAGAATTATTTTTCCTCTCAAATGGTAATGGGAGGCAATACTGGAAATAGAAAGGATGCATAAACATGGTATGTACATATACATATACACACAGACACATGCATATATATATATAGACACATACAATAACACAATACATTTGTGTGTGACATACATACATTGACACATACACACACACACGGATGTATATATTTTTAAATTTTTTCTGCTTATACAAAGGCAACAACAAGAACAAGGGTTAGTATTTTGCACATCCAGCAAAATAAACTTTTGGTATCCTGATAAAAAGAGGTATCTGCCACTAATGAATATAAATGGACAGTTTTAAAACACAGTGTATGCTTATTTAAAGAAGTACATTGCCCAGGTTAAGACTTTAAAAATATTAATTTTACATTAATTAGTCACTTCTCTAGCTAACTTCCATTCAAGAGTCTCCCTCCTTACATTTTCTAATTTTTACTTCTAATTTATATGGCCAAGGTCATATATATTTAAGAGTTAACTAATTATAAAATTTCAAAGAATGAAATTCTAACTTCAAACATTAGCTTTTAAATCATTTACAATCATTATCCTTCTCTTTTGTACTCATAAAATTGGAAGTCTTTCCAATTTTCAGTCTTTCCAACTGAAAGAAGAGAAGCTACCACACAGTAAGAATCTAAAACACTTGGCTTTCGTACCATATACTCCTGAATTAATCATTAAAACACTAGTTTTCAAAATCTAATCTTTGGACCAGCAGCTCTGGCATTATCCACGGGCTTTTTAGAAACACAAATACATCCACCCTATCTCAGCTTAGAAAACCATCCTTTCTAGGGATGGACCAAGGAAATGGTTTTCTAAACTCTTAGGCAGGTTAAAGTTTGAGAACCACCACTTTAGGGTTAGGGAAGAAGTCTAGAATTTATGATGAAACCTGTTTCTATAAATGTTTTATGAAACTCAGTCATTAATATTCATTTATGTATTGTTTAGAGCTGCTTTCACGTTACAAAGACAAAACTGAGTAGTTGCAACAGACACTGTAATACTTTAATATAAAAATATTAAATTTTTTACTGTTTATTTAAAAAAATATTTGCTGAAACCTGATCTAGATGTCTAAAAGATTAATTATACAACAGATATGAGCAATTTCTTCATATAATTTTAATCACTAAAGGGAAAATGATATTAAAAAAGGGTTAATTTCTAAGAGAGTAAAAACAAAACATAATTTGAGAATATACATGCCACTTACATTATCCGCTGTGTTTCTGATGAAAAGTCAACATATCTTCCAAAAATAAATTTAAGGTCCTAGAATTTCAACAAAGAAAAGACCAATAAGGAAAACCAGGGGAAAACATGCAAAATAATAAAACCAATTTATAAATTTCAGCTTACCTTTTCCTGAACATGTTTAGCTAAATTCTTTACATAAATTCTACAGTTTGGTTCACCAGGTTCGTAACTTCTAAAAACTGAAAGTGTTTCCATTTCTTACATAAAAACAAAGCAAGACAAAGATATAAAATTAAGACAGCTTCATCAATTTTTTGAAGAAAAACTTTAACAGCATTCAAATATAACTGCTAAATAGACAAATAAGCATTAAGAAAATGTTAAAATCATAGAAATTAATGACAGTGTTACTAATGGTATAAAAATACCCATTAAAAATCTAAAGTGATAAGTTAAAAAATTTCAGGCATCTAGAATAACTAAAATGTATCTGATAAAATATTTTCATTAAAGCACTTTTAAGCTTAATTTTAAGAATGAGTTACTTTATTTGAAAGACTGAAGCAAATAAAGATGCTATCAAACATCTGTGTTATTGTTCTGATTAAAGTCAATCTCCCTAAGTACTAGACACAAATATATTCAAATATAAAACAAATTACTTACAATGTAATTATCAAGAATTTCACACAAACTGTGGGTTCTGAATCTCTACGTAGCTACTTCTATTTAGTCTCTGAAATGTGTTCCTGACAACTATATGTTTAAGCAAAAATGCAATTTGGAAGTCTGTTTCCCATTATTATGAAAAAATTATAATGTGTCACATGTCAATCTAAAATCCCTAAATATTTTAAGATATATTAAAATAGGAAAAAATCCATTAGAAGTAAAAAGCTATCATATTAGGATATAAAATTCATAAACACAGGCTTTTAATTACCAAAGAGTTAAAACTGTATTTTTAGACAAACAATTGCTTTGCATACATCTCAGACACAGTATTGTGATGGTCTATCAACTGTAACCTGAATACAGAATTCCAGACTGTTGGTTATACTGACTTAAGATGTCATATAAAAGTTTCAGAAATGAAAACTTTCTTCCAAATACTCTGGGAACATTGTATTGAGGAATATCTTCCCTATAAAGTATGAGCACTAAAAAGCAAAAGTGATGATTAAAAACATTTAACTGAAGAGATGTCTTGAAGTACATGCTTTAGTTAAAGTAAATAACATGAAGAGATTTGTTTTGTTTTTGAAGGGCCAAAGAAGTGTAAAATAGAAAGTAAGTTCTGGTTTATTTCATGAAATTACCTTCTCGAGAAATTCTGCCCTTTTCCAACTCCCTTCTAGAAATACATTCTGATGGCATTTCATCAGAGTCGTCTTTAATCTCCTCTGTGGTGTTCAAATTTGGTTGGGGGAAGATTTTTCCAAATCCTATATTAGATGCATCAGCTTCAGTTGCAGGTAAGTCTAAGAGTTAACATTGATATTAGCCATTAAAAATCTTCCCTTCAAAATAGTTTTTCTTTTCCATTTTTAATTTTTACGATATTTTCTAGCACTAAACCCCTTTGGTGTTTTTCTCAATGCTTTGAAACAGTGGTGAGCAATCTTTTTCTATAAAGGTTCAAGCAGTAAATATTTTAGGTTTTGCAGGCCATATGGTTTCTATCATGACTATTCAACTCTGACACTATAATATGAAAATCACAAAATAAGACACTTCCATTTGAGGATACTAAAAAAAAAAAAAAAAAAAAAATTGATTGCATTATACCTCTCCCCATCAAAAAAAAAAAAAAGTCAATACTAATGGTGGTCCTACAAGAGGTCAGGAAAAATATGTATTTGCACACTTACTCAATTAGGAAAATTAAAATCATTATAAATTTTTAATTCACAACACAGCAATATAATGAATTTCATTCAGAAAACATGAATTTTAGCTTCAGTGAAAGTTAAACTGATTTGGGGTAGAGGGTTGGGAAGGACAGAATTAAACATGCAGTAGAAAAATTCCCAGTTATACTACCTAAAAAGGCAAACAAAACCTTAAAAAATCTATGAAAATGATGCAAATAACATGCCACACTTAGGATCTTAAAAGTCTCCTCTAACACATTTAGAACCAATTTTAGTTTTATTTAAAAAGTTTAAAATCAATAGTATTCCATGACACTAAGGAAGACCTAATTGCACATTTTAAATATATTCACAAATACTAAAAACAGAAGCACATAAAATTTAATTCTAATACAAAAAACTGATTGAGAAAATTTTTACATAGCATGTTAAAGAACTAGAATATGCTTACCACAATTTTCTTCTTCACAATTTTGTTGCTTTTCTAAATCTTTCTTAAATGCAGCTTGCATGTCAGTAGATATATGGAATTCAATTTTTTTATTACCTACAGGTTGTGGTTGGTCAAATACATCCGAAGGTAACAACACTGGATGTAAACTGCTGTTTATAAACAATCATAGCATTACTTTGTAATTGCAAACAAAATTTTGAGAAAAACATTATTTCATATTAACCTTAAATTTAAAACATTAACACTAATAAAACACACTAGAGGCACTGAACAAAGTAACTTACACTTAATACTTTAAAAATCCTAACAATTATTCTCATATAGATATTATTAAATTCTTAGTTTAGACAGGTAAGGTGTTTGAGGTTAAAGGATGTTAAATAATTGCATAAAGTCAGTCAATAAATGACAGAGATAGAACTTTAGGACTATTGATTCTAAACATCAGGATATTGGGTCAGGATATTGGCCAATACGCAAAAAAGTTCATTCTATGATTAATGTAAGCATTTTATGCACTGTATTCTATATACTATATGTAATAAATCTATGCTGGCCAATGGAGTAGCCATAAGCCACATGTGGCTAATAAGCACTTGAAATCTTGCTTATGTTCTAATCTGTACTTATGTTCTAAGTACAAAATATACACCAGAGTTTGACAACTTTGTGTGGAAAAAAAGAAATGTAAAACATTTCAATAATGTTTTATATTAATTGTATTTCGAAATAACAGTTGAGGTATAAGTGGTTCAATAAAATACATTATTAAAATTAATTTCATCTTTTAATGTAGCCACTGGTAAATTTACTTGGTTCACATTACAGCTGACCTTTGAACAACTCAAGAGGTTAGGGGCCCTGACCCCAGAGCAGTCAAAAACCTGTATGTATATAACTTCATCAACCTTCCATATCCATGGTTCCTCTGTATTCATGGATCCATATCCATGGACTTAACTAACCTTAGATCATGTAGTACTGTAGTATTTACTGAAAAAATCTGCATAAATATAAGTGGATCCACACAGTTAAACCCACGCTGTTTAAGGGTCAACTAAATTAGCTTTTAATTGCTTGGTGCTGTTATAGAAATTAAAAGCATGGGACTGTGATGTCAAAACATACACAGGTGGGAAATATGCATCATATTATGTACACTTAACATGAGAAAATAATTCTAAAAAATCCAAAGATTAAAGACCCATTCCTATAAAAATGTAAAAACATCATTTTAACAAACTTTTCTCAATTTATGAAGTTACTTACAAGTTCAAAGTAAATTTACCTTGTAGAAAAGCTGAATAGAATTAAAACTGTAATTAATAGTAATTTTCACTGATTAAGATATCTAAGTACACAGAAACCCATGGCAAACAGGCTAATAATTTCTACCATAATTTCAAAAAAAAAACTTGTTAATGCAAAATGTCAGATCATCAGTCAAAAGGGACAATACATTTCAAACAAAATACACAGTAATAAACACTATTTCACTGGCAATTTCTCTATTCTAACACAAAGTTTAAGACATAGTGGGAAATTAATTTATATCTAATAAAATTCTTTCATACTTATAGCCCTGATCATCACCCCACATCAGTGTATTTCCTGAAAGCTTACTATAAGATGATAAAATCTGAGAGAAATTTTTAACTTTTTAATGTCAGTGGTATTAAAATGGTTCCTTCAATGTATTCAAATATCGTAACATAACATTTAAGGAAGGCAGGTATCTCCACATCCTTCTAGCTTTCCCTTTCATCATTTCTATTCCTATGCACCAAACTGCCTTACCTCTGGAAATGTACTTTTTTATTCAAATTGGATCTCTCTTCCCTGAGCCATTTTTGCTGCTCCTCCTTCAAGCCCAGCTCAAATTGTCTCCTCTGTCTTAAAGTCTTTCCAGATTTCTTACCTGGCTGTGATCTCTCCTTTCTCACAATCTTTCATTCTCAGTTACATCTTGTTATAACATTAAATATTATAAATGCTAATACAATAGTCATCTGTGCATATGTTTTACCTGTCCATAAGACTATTAACTTAATGTTTGAAAAGGTAGCACTGAGCTTTGGAAGCATGCTCCAAACCCCACAATATTTAGCATAAAACTTATCACACATTGAATAAATATTTAAAGGTGAGTCCTGTGTATTAAAGCCATGTGAACTTTTACCTGCTAGGGTACTCTGAAGCGAAAAAATGTTTGATATCAGGTAGTAAAGTTAGGAAAAACTAACAAACTTTCATATAAGCACACTGGTAATGCCATTATCAAAACTGTCAGTACAGGAAGAGAAAGAGATAATTAAAGTAAATTAATTTTGTTTTGAATAATACCTTAAGTGCATGCAAGACATTGAGTATACAAACAGGAAACTAGAAATAAAGACTTTGGAACTCAGGAGTTTAAATCTAGAGATGGAGATTTGGAATCTATCAGCTACAACAGAATCATAAAAATTAATGATATTAACAAGTAGTAAAAACATATGAACGGAAAATGACCACAGACAGGAGTAAATGGAATCCAATACTTAAAAAACAAGTGAGTGAGTGAGTGAAAGTCACAAAAGAAAAAAGTAGGAAGAAAAAGAGAAAGAGACAGAGTTAAGATGAGAAACAAAAAAATTAAAGGTGGACAATTTTGAAACCTGGCATAGTCAATAGTATCAAATGCTGGTCAACTTTGAGAAAATTAGGGATACTTGTGAATTTGGCAAATAAGAAATCACTGGTAAACCAAATGGACTGATAAAAGTCAGAATGAGAAATGATTTCAGTTAAGCAATTAAACAAAGTATATAAAGAACCCCTATCCTATAATCTAGAACAAAGCTACCTGTGTGAAATAGATGATGGTATATTCAACATATCCTTTATTTTTCTCTTTTTTCTCACATGGCGCTGCTTTACTGGTTTTGGTCTTTTGGGCTGAAGATTTGCCAGTTCCATTAGTTTGGTCATTCTACATTAGCGGAAAGAAAAGTAAATAAGATTTATGTAAAAGCTCAGTTATTTACCATTGTTTTTGTTAAGCTTAAATTTTTATTTGAGCTTATAAATTATAAAATGATTTATATGGCTTAAGTAGAATTTCTAAGTCATAATTTAAGATATATTTCATTTGACAAAAGCTCAAGTTATGAATCTCCTTGATCAATTTTCATCTTAGCTTGAAGGAACTGGGAATTTTCTTAACTGCAATCTGTCAAGTTTTAAAGATATATTTTATTATGAAAATTACTAGTTTCCCAAATAAATGACTGTACTTTGTGCCAAAAAGTTAAACAAGATACACTAAATATAATCTTTGTAACTTTACTGCTCTTTCCTTGACTGATATTCAACAGAGCTTACAAACATAGTAAAATTTTGATTCATATTCTAATTATTAAAGAAAACCTAGACTTAAATACTTTATTTAAAAATATTTTGTGCATAATTGTTGGAAAGCATCCTTATATAAATAAGATAACTTACACCGTTCTTGAAAACAAGAGTTTTCAAATACTATACTCTAAAGTGGCTTAATCAATCAAGGGTTGACAATTGATACTTTGTATATAACTTATCTGCATTATGATTATGAATATTTAGAATAGATCTTGTCTAGCCTTTCTTGGCTCTTCCACAGGATCAGATAGTGTTTCCACAAAGCAAGTTCAAAACCGTTATTCGCAGCTCTATTTCTCCAGAGTTAAATTTTATTTTAGGCTCTGCTGAACATTATTAACAACTTATTGCTCTTTTCCAGAAGCTTTAAATAAAATATATGTAGATCATCAAGAATAACCAATAAAAGAATAATTCATTTGCAGTAATTATTATGAATATTCTTGTATAAAATTCTATGAAGTTGCTCTAGAAATTACTCTGAGGTAAATAAAGTCCAGGGAAGTAAGCTGACAAAACAGAAATACAACCTAATTTTGTTCTATAAAATCTTCGCAAATACTGAAATTAGTGAATAATGAATCACTGCCCCTAGAGGAAATTCAGGATTAGGTTCCTGCAAGCATGTGCTCACATTTCACTCACTGATCAATATACACCTCATTTTATGTTTGTTTACTTTTAAGAACATCTTATTTAATATATATTTTTGATTCAATAACACTGAACTCATAGTCAACAGCACTAACTCAGGCCTCCTAAAACACAGAATTTTCTCCATAAAACACATCATAGCCCTCTTGATTTTGGAAACCCTAGACAGCACTTCAACACTACACTTGGGGGCATTTTAAACAGCAAAACCAACAACAAACAGCACAAAAATGTGAAAAACGTGGTATGTATAAACAGTAAAAAGACCCTTGTTTACAGTATAAGAGCTGAAATAAGAGGACAGAATGTCCCTTTGTTCTACTCCATCTAGCAATGTGCATGTCAAATGACTCAAATTTTTCACCATTCTGTACATGCCCATGTCTGCCAGAAGACCGTAAAAGCATTGCAACTACTGATGTTGAAGTTATAAATAAACTGTAACAAGTGGGCAAGTTCTCAAATACAGAATCAACAAAAAATGATGATCAATTTTATACCATTATCAATCAAAAAAATTACTCGTTATGCAAAAATTTTTCTTTAGGTCTTGATTTCTAGTCTCAGGTCTTAATCTACAGTATAATGGGGAGCTGGAGATGGACAAATGCTAAGAACCCTGAATTAGGAAGAACTATATGCAAAACCTAAGAAGAGTAAGAGAATCTCATTCATATACTTTATGTTTATTAGAATCTACATAAATATTTGACATTACATACCTCTGACGGTCTTCATCATCACTGCTTTCATATTCTGATTCTTTACTAGATAATTCCTCATCCTCATCTGGCAAAGGAGGTTCCTCTGGTGGCTGAGGAGATGTAGGTGGAAGAGGTGCATGTAATGGCATATAGTCCTCATACTAAGTAAAAAAAAAAACACTGTGGTAATCTATGATGTTTACAGAATAGAAAATTATTTCCATTCAGATACATGACTCTCACATTTCTCTATTCCTCATGATTTTCTTTTACACATTCAACATATACTGATGGAACACCTGCCTTAGTATACTGACTTTAGTCGATCACAAAACTTGTTTCTTCTTCCTTGGCACCTAGCTGGAATAAATTTCCAAACTTCCCTTGCAGTTGGATTTCACCTGAGTTTTAGTCAATGAAAAGGTTAGCATAAAAGCTTCCCACACATAAAATTCTCTCTTGTCTTTTTATCCGCAGGCTGCATGGTAATGTCCTCACCAACCAGGGAATGCACATAATGCAGATTAACTTGGGTCTTTTTAGTGACAGAAAAGAACACCATCTGCCCTACTTTTGGAATGAACCTGGCATGAGCAAGAGATAATCTGAATTGTGTTAAATGACTAAAATTTGAGTTTTGTTAACAGCAGCTAGTATAATCTTAACTATTATCCTCGCAACATGCCAGGCATTGAGGTTTCAGAGTTACAAAGAAAAATTATGAAGCTAATATAGACATTAGAAAAGCAATCAATGCACAATACAAAAGCAAATTTTCTATTTATATGTTAGCCTTTTAAAATAATTTATCGCTGCTATTATCTAAAAAAGTACTAAGGGGACATTTATACAATGGAATCTTACTCAGCCCGAATGAAGCAGTGCCACTTGCAGTGACACAGATGGACCTAGAAACTGTCTTACTGAGTGAAGTTAAGTCAGAGAAAGACAAATATCATATGATATTGCTTATACATGGAATCTAAAAAAATGGTACAATGAACTCATTTAGAAAACAGAAATAAAAGTTACAAACATGACTCAAGAATCAGTCATGAATCCGAACAAACTTATGATTACCAGGAGGGGAGGGAAGGAGAGATAAATTGGGAGATTGGGATTGACATATATACACTACTATACATAATATACATAAGAACCTATTGTATAGCATGGGAAACCATTCAATAATCTACAATGGTCTATATGGCAAAAAGAATCTAAAAAAGAGTGGCTATATGTATATGTATTAATATAACTGATTTAGGTGTGACTGCACACCTGAAATACAGCACTGTAAATCAACTGTACTCCAATTAATAACATAAAAAAACATAAAGTACTGTACTGCTGCCACCGGCAAGTCACTTCAGTCGTGTCCGACTCTGTGCGACCCCACAGACGGCAGCCCACCAGGCTCTGCCATCCCTGGGATTCTCCAGGCAAGAACACTGGAGTGGGTTGCCACTGCCTTCTCCAATGCATGAAAGTGAAAAGGGAAAGTGAAGTCACTCAGTCGTGTCCGACTCCTAGCGACCCCATGGACTGCAGCCCATCAGGCTCCTCTGTCCATGGGATTTCCCAAGCAAGAGTACTGAAGTGGGTTGCCATTGCCTTCTCCAATAAAGTACTGAGTATTACAGCAAACAATAGAATTACTAAAATTACTCAAGAGCAGATATAACCTACCAACAAAATTATTGATAGATTTGCATAGTAAACTCTAATAAAAAATTATAAACCTTTTTTATCTTTTGCAAATGTGACTTACCAGCAATAAAACCAGAAAGATGGAAATTTTAGACAATTCAGCTTGTTAAATGTAACTGTCTTATAGGATAGAACAACGTTCTAGATCAAAGGACTGAATAACCCTAAGAGAAATAATGGCCTCTATTACCAAAGCATTGCTTTAATATTCTGGGGAATTCCCTGGCAGTTCAGTGGTTAGGACTCCACGCTTCCACTGCAGGGGTCATGGGTTCAATTTCTGATTACAGAACTAAGATCTCACATGCTGCATAGCATAGCCAAGAAAGAAAAAAAAAAAAAAGTTCTGGCTTTTCCCCAATTTCAGTTCTCCTCAGGACTATTATTAAGTTAACTTTGCATTGGTTCTTCACTTTCAATAAACGTTAGAGATCACTGGCACAACATTTGTAAAATTTAGCCTCAATAACCTCACCACAAGAAGAGAAATCTTGAATGTTGAAAATTCCAAGAGCTTTCTTACCATGGGAGGCCGGGTAGTAATTGGTCCAAAAGGTGTGGGCAAATTCATTTTATTCATAAGATGAAGCACCTTAATAAAAGGGATAAAACATTTGAAATCAAATAGAAAAATCATGATTCAACTCACATCTGATAATGTACTCAAAAACTTTGCAATAACACAAGTGATAAATTTAGTGCAAAGGATCACCTCTTGCCTTTATAATTCCAGAAAAAGACTAAACTGGTATATCTCAGGCACTGGTATATCTTAGAAGATCAGCCTTCCTAAAATATTTATCAATTGTGCAAAATACCATCATTCTCATTATTAAAAATGTCATTTTCTTACAATGTAAAATTTACTAAAGTGTTTTTTCCCTTGATTATTGTGGAATTATGAAACATAGAGAAGCATAATAAAGAAAATCATCATCTATATTTTTTACTTAAAAGTATCTTTTTTTTTTTTTTAAGTCATCTGTATTTGTTACAACTTTTTAAAGCAGAATGTGACTTGAGCACTACATTTCCATTCACAAAACTTGCTCCAAGTTACTTTTCCAGCGGCTTTACAACATGCCTGAGCAGGCTTATAAGCTTGCTACTCTAAACAATATTTTTCTTTGGAAAACAAGCCCTATGTATGGAGAGCGACTCCAATCAAGTTGGTTCAGCTTAACACACTAACTTCTAGAGGCCTGGCACATGCAGTCATAACTACAGGGGATGGAAGTTTTAAAAAGTATATCCCAGAAGATGAAAACTTGCTTTAACAAGTGTTTCTTTTAAAAGCTTAGTCTACTTCTTCCATGCGGGACGTGTCATCATCTCCTTCCAGGGGAGGCATTTCCTCAGTGACAGCAGCACTGCTGTCATCAGCAGTGGGGTCATCCTCATCAATACCGAGACCAAGCTTGATCATCCTGTAGATCCTGTTGGCGTGTGTCTATATTTTTTACTTAAAAGTATCTTTTATTGTCAATATTTCTAAGCATTTATTAAGGGATCCTCTATATCTTTTCCTCTAAGAAAGGAAAGGCATATGCTAAAGTAACGAAGAATTACCAGAGATTACATTTCCCAAATGAGCTTATCCTTATTAGTATTATTAATACTAAACATATTAGTATTTTTATGCTATAGTTTATAAAAACTCTTACTTGAAAGTATTAATTTTTTCACTACCTTTTGCAATGGACTGAATGCTTATGTCCCTCTCAAAAGTTCATATGTTAAATCCTAACCTATAATGGTATGGTATTAAGACATGAAGTTTTTGGGAAGTTATTAGGTCATAAGGGTAGAACCCCCATAAATGGGATGAGTGTACCTTATAAAAAGCACAACCGGGAGCTCTCTCACACTCTTTCAGCTACATGAAGTTACAAAGAGAAAATGGCCATCTTCAACCCAGAAGAGGGCCCTCACCAGAACCTAACTATCCTGACACACTGGAATACAACTTCCAACCACCAGACTGTGAGAAATAATTTTCTATTATTTAAAAACCGCCCCGATCATGGCACTTAGCTATAACAGCCCAATCTAAGACATCTTTAAAATTCTGAAGTATTATCACCCCTATAGGAATTAGTTTGATTAATACAACTATTTTTTTAAAAGTATGAAAAAGTATTTACTTTGAGAAATGTTTATTCTACTTACCTGCACATAGAACTTAGGCACACTTGCCAAAGCATTTACTATATTTGCTAGGATTGTGCTTGAAGGTGGTGGGTACATATACTTGAGGCATGAATTCAGAGGAAAAGTCAGCCTAAAAAAAATACTTAAAATGCTTATTGTGTTTTAGTAAGTTTCATATCAATAACTCATTTAAGGTAACCTAATAACATAAAAATTGCTCAAATGATTCAGTAAATCTAAGAGTACTCTGTTCCTAAAAGATCCAAATGACTACATTTAAACAGCAACTTGCCTTCTCTCTGCATTACAGAAGAATATAGCATTTCTTTTCAGAGCTTATCTTACAACTTTGAACATTTTAATGGAACCAAATTCAGTGACAAACTCTTAATGTTCAATATGTTTAATCAACACACTAAAAATCTTCATTATATATAATAAAATGTCCTTTAAAAATATCTTATTTGACAAAACACACACACACGTACCCCACACACACAAACCTATCTATCCAAAATAAAACCAAAAGACACAATGAAATACAAACAAAAATGCTAACCCATGGTTTGGTGCAATTCCATTTTCTATGGTTAAACAATCCAGTTCTTTCTTTTCTTTATCATCTTCCATAGGATCATCAGACCTAAGAAATATGGAATCAAAGTTGATGTTATCTACAGAAGAAACAGAATGAAAAATTGCACACAAAAATGACACTATCTTTTCAAACACAGCATTATGAAAACAGCTGCATAAGTAAAACTTTCAACTATTAAGTAAATACCAATGAAAAAGAGAAACTAATTCCAGATATTAGATAAGGCAAGCCACATTTTCATTTATTCTTCATAGCAACCACACGAAAATGGTATGATGAATCTTACTGACAGCCCTCATCCACCAAAATTGAAGTTCACAGGTATAAAATAGTGGCATACAAATGTCTTTAATGTGCATCAGCAAGGGTTTCTTAAAAATCAGACCACTGAGGTCTATGCTCCTCCCCACCCCAAACGACCCAAACTTCTGATTCAATAGGACTAGGTTAAGGACAAACAATCTTTCCTTCAGTCAAGATTCTAGACGATGCAGCTGGTGTAGGGATTGCACTATGAGAATCACTGGTGTAAATCAATTTATAAAGGTCATACAGCTACGAAGAATTACAGCTAGGAATCAAGGCCGTGCCTATTAATGATACCTTGCTATAGACTAGGATTTTATACTAGTTACCTTCTCTCCACTTATAGTTGAACACTTTCACCCTACTCTCTTTCCACTTCACATTAGTTAAGTCCTAATATTAAATCAATACTCAGGTTACTAATGCATAATTAGGAACAAACAAATGTATTGCTTTCAAGTACTAGATTCAGCAGGGAGATACAATCATTTACTGTTTCAGGTTATTTACTTGCTAGTCTGAAAATAATTCAAGAGCAATACAACTCTTTAAAAAATTAGCAATTTTTTAATTTTTAAGAATTTTTTCAATAAAATAAAAAATAATAATAAACTTATAAAAGGCTAGGAAAACCTATCTACATACCTTTTCTTTTTTTCAGTGCCCAAAGGAGGACATGGTGAATGAACTCGATCTTGCTCTTTTGCAAATTCAACAACTAAAGTATGACCCAGAAGTTTCAGTTGATGAAGTCTTGTCAATGCCTTCAGTTGGAAGAACAAAAGAGTAAAAAAATTAATAACTGTACCAAAGTTATCTGTTAGAGACAACATATAAAGTAATTTATACATTTTTGTTAAAGCTGATAACATTTCCTTGGCTATTTTTCACCCATTTCTAATCTCAGGCTGCCAAGCCTTCATTACTCCTTAGGCAATGTTTAGAAAATGTTTAGAAAAACAAACATAATGAACTGGGCTGGTCTCACTTTAAATTCACAATCACAAACACAAATCTGAGGGCAACCTTTAGTGAAGCCAACCAGTTACATACTACATTTCAGTTCATTTTTTTCTACCAATCTCTAAGATAATATTTTGCACTATTTCCTTCTTCCTAAACTTCATGATATTCCTGTCCCATTCTTTTAGCCTTGGATATTGCTTCTACTTTAAGAAAACTGAAGCTACAAAATGAGAACTTTGGATTTCCCACCATAATTTCTCATCTACCATCTTCTGAATCCACATATTCTACCTTCTATCTGTTATCACATATCAATGATCCATGTTCTTATTTAAATCTAGTTAACTTGTATATGCTCCCCTGATAGCTCAGATGGTAAAGAGTCTGTCTGCAATGTGGCAGGCCTGGGTTCAATCCCTTGGTCGGGAAGATCCCCTGGCGAAGGAAACGGCAACCCACTCCAGTACTCTTGCTTGGAAAATTCCATGGATGGAAGAGCCTAGGAGGCTACAGTCCATGGGATCGCAAAGAGTCAGACATGACTGAGCAACTTCACTTCACTTCACTTGTATACTAAATCCCAGCCCCTCTTCTCTCTGGAACTGTATAGGGTGTGTTCCTACCTACATTGCTAATTTTCTGTCCTCTACAGGATTGGCCACAACAGCATACAAACACAATCTGATTTCTCCATCCTAAAAAAGTATTTTTTCCTCATCTATTGATCCCACTTATCACTATTCCCCTCTATGCCCTCCCTCCCCTTAAATTACTCTTGCACTAAAGCTCCTCATGAAACATTTATGCCCTCTATCTAAAATTCCTCTCCTCCCATCCAGTCTCAAACTCACTCCAATCAGGTTTATGCCTTAATCATTCCACTGACACTGCTTGTCATAAACAACAAATTCTGTACTGCCACACCAATGGCCAACTCTCTATCTTCATTTTATATTATTTAAGACAATCCCTCCCTCCTTGATACATGTTCTTCACTTGGAGTCTACAGACATTATAACTTCCCTACAGTTTTCTTCCACACTTACTGTATTTTACTCCTCAATCACTTTGGCTTATACTGTCTTGAAATCTTAATGTCGGTATACTCCAGAGGTCTATTTTTGGATCTAATCCAGTACCCTAAATTTAAGGACCATCTTTATGCTGATAATTTCCCAACTTATAATTTCAGCCAAAATCTCTGTCCTTAAGTCAACGAACAAGTATCCAAATTACTGGATAGCTTCTTTTAATTTTAAACATTTTAAACTTACACTCCAGGAATTGAATCTTCTCTCCCCACCCTCATCTCAAATGCTTCCCATCTGGAAACTTTCAATGGAAACTCCCTTCTTTCATTTACTCATGTCAAAAATCTTGCAATCACCCTTAATACCTCTTTCCCACGTTGCATATCCAAGCCATCAAGAATTCCTATTTGCTTCTACTTCCAAATTAATCTAGAATCTAACTATTCCTTACCATCTCCACTGCTACCACCATGGTCCAAGAAACCATCATCTTTGGCCCAAACTAGCAGTATAATCTTTTAACACATTTTCCTGTTTCTACTCTTCCCTGCCTTCCATCTATTCGCAACACAAAGTGATACTTCTAAATATAAGTCAAATTATGATGCTGTTTTGCTCACAGTACTACAATGGCACCCAATTTTATTCAGCAAAATCTAGTGTACTTAGAATGTACATGTTATGGCCCTAACTTCTCTGACCTCAAATTCAATTTCTCCCCTCATTTTTTATGCCTTGGCCACAAGTTAGTGCATTTCACTTAGTCCACTTACTGGAATTCACTTCCCCAGATTATTTCTTCAGCTAACTTCCTTCACTTCTTTCAAAATGTTGATCAAACATGACCCCTAACTACTTTAACTGTAGCTTAACCCTCTCAACCCAGCATTCCTGATCCTATTGTTTTGTTTTTTTTTTTTTTTCAAATAGCATTTCTCATTTTCTAAAATACTAAACAACTTATTAAGTTTATTATTTATGGTCTGTTTCTCTGTTCAAGAACATGAGTTCTGATGAGGGCACAAATCTGCATTTTATTTACTGATCGATCCCAAGATTTAAAGGAGCATCCAGCACATAGCAGGTACTGAGTATTTTTTGAACAAACAGAACTTTAGGGCTTAACTGGGACTATATTTTATTTTACCATCTCTATGCATTCTTATTTGACTCCATTATACAAACCAAGTTTATCAATGCTTTAATAATTTTCAAGTCCTTAATTCAATCTAGAACTTTTCACTGTCAACGAACCTTTTGATTATGTGAAATACAGGTGAATTACTTCAAGTTTCTTCCCCTCAAAATGTGTCACACATTCTCTTCAAAGTTATAGTTTTTAATTTTTAATGTTAACTAGTTCTCATAGCTTCCTCAGCTACTTATTAGAAACATGTCTCTCCCTTTGCTTAAAAAAGCTATCAATCAAGTGCACTATCACCTAAAAACTTTATCACTGCTACTATCTTCTCATTCCTTCTTTTCAATATAGTATTTCCCAAAGACAATGACGGGTTCCATGTCCTCTGCTCCAAGTTAATTTTGACTCTAGAACAATGTGGTTCATTACCATATTTTACCAACAATATTTTTAAACTATATTTCAAAAGGTCTTTTTTGAAAAAAATGTTTTCCTATATTTTAATATATACAACGTGAAAGTCTTCTGTAATTCCACCCTGGGAGAAAGATATTTATTATTTGGTATATAGCTCTGCTACATTTTGTTCTGCTACTGCTGCTAAGTCACTTCAGTCGTGTCCGACTCTGTACGACCCCACAGACAGCAGCCCACCAGGCTCCGCTGTCGCTGGGATTCTCCAGGCAAGAACACTGGAGGGGGGTGCCATTGCTTTCTCCAATGCATGAAAGTGAAAAGTGAAAGTGAAGTCGCTCAGTCGTGTTCGACTCCTAGCGACCCCATGGACTGCAGCCTACCAGGCTCCTCCATCCATAGGATTTTCCAGGCAAGAGTACTGGAGTGGGTCACCACTGCCTTCTCCACATTTTGTTCTAGGCATACACTAACATACATAGTAGTAGTTTTCAAAAACTCCAAGGTTACACCATATGTATTTCCCAACTTTGTTCATGAATCTATCTGGGTTACATTCCTGATCAATACATATTCATTTGACTTCATTTTCTGAGGGTTGTAGTCCAGTGTATGGATATACTACAATTTAAAGTGTCCTTTCCCTTATTAAGAATTTGGTCATTTCTACAGTTTCACAATAAAAAGTACTTTACTATTAGACTGTTAATTCTTCACCTTGTGTCATGAAAGGATCTTGTCTTCTTAAAACTCTCTTCTCTTTGCAGCCATGAGAATTTGTTCTCTAGTTCTACTTCCTTTTTTAACTTCTCCCTCCCTCCCTGTCTTCTTTGCTGGATCTTCTTCCTTTGGGAAACCATATTCATTCACCTTGTTGAAGAAATTCCATTTTTAAGCCTGCCTCTACTCTAGACCCATATTTTTAATTGCTTTTTAAAATATTTCCACAGAAGTAGCCCACCGACTCCTCAAAGTTAATAGATAACGTATGAATTCATTACAAACCTTTGCAAACATTCTGAGTCCTGCCCCTCATATTAGCTAATGTAATAACTCAAGAACTCGGTCTGAAAATCTTCAGGTGTTCCCTCTCAACCATATCTATAGGGATCACAGGACCTACAAACACAATCTCTACCAAATGTATATCTACTTCTTCTTTTGTCCTCTTACTGCCTTATTCAGATCTTTTCTCCTACCTTGGCCACTGTAACAGTTTTCTTGTCTAGGCTTTCCTTTTGATTTTTCTACATCTAATCTTTTTCCATACCTAATCCATTACATGAACTCTACAAGATATCTTTCATAGAGCTGACTATGTTACTGGTCAGCTTAAATTTACCAAGTACCTTAAGAATATCTACTAAACAAAATTCAATCCCTCCCTTCCTTCAACCCAAATTTAGACTCAACCTACTTTCTAAGTCCTATTTTGATTTCAACACTCAGCTTTTGCTCCACTTAGAGCTTTCCATGCTCCACAGCTTTCTTTAGTGGTCTCTAAACATGGAAGGCCCATCTCCCTTTGTTTCTGTCTCAAGATCCAACTAATTATTACAGGTCTACCTCAAAGGTCACCTCCTTTGCAAATGATCCCCTATGATTTTTTAAATATACATTCTCTATTTAATGCTTAAAGCACCTTGCCTTGCAACTGTTATGTCTAAAGGATGTTTGCATCCTTCAAAGCTTGTCATTTTTAATTATATAACAGGTTACAATTCAATTTTAGTTCATGCTCCTGTTAATCTATTGCATATCATCATAAGGAAAAACCCCAATGAACTTTTTGGTCAACTCATAATAGTCTTATGCCCAAATATCTAAACTTTGGGCAAAATCTGCCAACTGGCAAGCCAAATGTAGCCAATGAGGCAAACTCTGGAAATATAAACCTTTTTGCTTTTAAAAGGGCTTCCTTGGTGGCTCAGCTGGTAAAGAATCCGCCTGCAATGCAAGAGACCTTAGTTCAATCCCTGGGTTAGGAAGATCCTCCAGAGAAGGAAAAAGCTGCCCACTCCAGTATTCTGGCCTGGAGAATTCCATGGACTGTACAGGCCATGGGTCCTGAAGAGTAGGAAAGAACTGAACGACTTTCACTTACTTCACTTTGCTTTTAAAAACTATAGTTTAGCCTCATGTTTCATTTTTTTAACTATGCCTGGATAATAGAAAGTTGGTAGTAAGTAACAGAAAAGAAATATTCATACCTTTACAGCTGCTTTTTCATTAGGGAAAGTAGCAAAAGCTGTATGTTTCTGAAAAACAATTAAGGTACAAATTATTTCAAATATAATTTCAATTTCTCATAAGGACGTCTGATATTTTACCAGCTGACAGTGATGTGACATATTAATAAAATCATAGAAAAGGCAGGAAATCAAGATCATTTAATTGATTACGAATTTCAGGACTGTTTTTGAATCAGTTTAGGATCACACTTCTTTGAAATGAAAGCCTTGGGAGTGCACACACACAGCATTTTTAAATATATTTTCAAGTACTTCAACTATCCGTAAGTTTAAAAACCTCTACTATCCAGAGAGATCCATTCTTAAACTATCCAAAATCATAAAATATGTTCCATGTACAACGCATCCAAAGATCTAAACTTTTCACTAGATAGCGAAATGCAAAGTTTAAATGGGTCTTTCTTTTAACTCAATTCACAACCTTGGCTGCATATTAAAATCACCTGGGGAGACTATTGATGCCCTGTCATAGATCATCTGGCAGAAACATAACATCACCGTCACTATTTTAATGAAGAGTAATCATCTAAGACATCTTCAGATATAACGGAAAATAACTTTGTACATTCCTGAGTTGGACTTTTAATAGTCTTAAATTATCGCTCCCCGAAAGATTACGTCGTACGATTTTTATGAAGAACATCTTCCTCAAAAATCTAGTAGAAATCCTCTAACTAGCTTACTCAAGTTGCCGACTTCTGTAGTTTCTCCTCTATTTTGATGAATGTTTTAACGTTGGCTTACAAGCAAACCAAAATTTTTTTTTAAGTGTCCCTTTTTTTACATATTTTTGAGAGTACTCTTGAGTTTAAGAGAAATACTTACAAAATCCGAGTAGTTTAGAGATTCCCAGGGTGGGTGAGACACGAACTATAACAAAGCTTACTTCTCATTCTGTCTGCTTTGCCTTTCTCAATCGCCCTTTTCCTCAGCGCGGTAACTAATCGAGGCACAAGCCAATTAAAACTTGATTTGGGACGAAAGAGATTTTGATATGAAAGAGGAAGGACTGGGAAAGGGAGAAGAGGAAGCCCCCACTACACAAGCGCATCTTCCCCACTCTTCTTTTTCCTTCTATCAGAACTTCCCTTTCCCAGGCCACCGGCCTAGGATCTTCCCCGGAAACTAGGGGCTCGCGCGCTCTTACCAGGCGGCCCTTATCAGATAGGACGCGCACGGACTGCGCCCCGAAATACTTCAGCAAGTCCTCTTTCTCCTCAGCGGTAAGCTCGGCTGGCAGGTGCCTCACTAGAAGGGTTCGGTCGCCCCGCGGGGGAGAAAGCGAAGCAGAGCTCTGGCATCCTCTGGAAATCGGCAGCGGCTGTTCTGGGGCCGCCATTTCTCACACAGACTCAGAACCTGAGAAGCCGCTGAGGAATCCGCGGTAATCAAAAGAAGCGGAGCTAAGAGAGTCTTCTTCCACTCCGCGCTAAGGATTCTGGAAACAAGGAAATAACGCGAGACGGTCGCCTTCTCGCGAGACCTGCACCACAGACGGGTGACAACTTTTCGGAGACAAGTTCCTTAGATTGGAAGGGGAATGTGCACAGTAATGGGAAACCAAGATGATTCAAATTCCAGATAGCTGCTGATGATGTTTAAAACAAAAATTCCCCCGAGAGAGGTGTGAGGATTAAAATGTTAAAGTACGACGGACTTCAGCCGCCTTTTCCGAAGACGAAGTAACGCCAAGGACAGAAGGACTTACTGCTGCGCATGTGCGAGCGGCGCGCGGGTCTGGGCGTGGCACCGGGGCGGTCCCGAAGGGCGCGGTTAGGTTTCTGATCCTGGCCGATTTCCAAGTGCTTGTGATTGGCTGACAAATACAGGATGTTTGCCCAAGGCACTGGAATGCCTGAAGGTTGCACGATTGTTTCTTTTTCTGCTCGGTATCCTTCACATAGCCAGGCTAACTCAGTTTTAAGGAAGAAAAAATTGAGACCCAGTCCGTGTTTTGTTTTGTTGAATCATGGGACCCAGCAGCCTGATAAGGTATGGCCATTGCTCACTTTTACGCAACTAGCGGCCTCTGGAGCTTAGTGGTAAAAGAATCCGCCTGCCAATGCAGGAGACATTCCCTGGGTCAGGAAGATTCCCCTGGAGGAGGAAATGGCAGCCCTCTCCAGTATTCCATGGGATTCTCCCATGAGGACAGAGGATCCTCTTAGGTTACAGTCCTTAGGGTCGCAGAGAGTCGGAAAGGACTGGCATACAGGAAGAGATACCCTAACATCACTCCCTAGTTTACAGTTGAAGACTCTGATGTGTACAAGGAGGTGTAAATGAGAGAGCTGGAATTTGATCCTGCTAGTAAGACTGGACTTTACACTATTCTGCCCTGTTTCTGAATGGAGTGAGCCTGAGATGTTTACTTATTCCATACAGTGAGGGCCTTGAGAATTCTAGGTAGACGTATTTTAGGTGCAGCAACTACAGTCTGGAGCTCTAAGGTGCCTCTTACTGCTCTTTTTAATTTGCTACTTGATCAGATGGTAACTGTATAGCAATAAATAGGATACCAAAGGAGACAGCAGTGGCGACCCACTCCAGTGCTCTTCCCTGGAAAATCCCATGGACGGAGGAGCCTGGTGGGCTGCCGTCCATGGGGTCGCTAAGAGTCAGACACGACTGAGCGATTTCCCTTTAACTTTTCACTTTCATGCACTGGAGAAGGAAATGGCAACCCATTCCAGTGTTCTTGCCTGGAGAATCCCAGGGATGGGG